GGGGTGGGGACGGGGCCAAACGCACCAACTCTCGCTCTGCCGTCTTCCCACTTTCGCCAGCCGATGCCGTCCTGCGCGCCGTGGGTGGCGTAGTACTCGGCGTCGAGCTGCATGCGCACGCTGTTGAGGCAGCTCAGGCTGTGGTAGACGTCGAGCTCGGCGTAGATGGGGTCCGAATGCACGCGCGGCGGGCTCGCCAGCCCGGCTCGCAGCAGCGGCGCGCTCTCGTCGGCCGTCAGCGCGAAGAATTGGCCCTGCAGCAGCTCTTTCCATGCGCGGTCGATGCCGGGTACGTTGCGTGGGTTGCCGAAGTAGGAGGGGCTGGTTGCGGATGTGCTGCTGCTGCTGCTGCTGGAGGAAGAGGAGGAGGAGGAGCTCGAGTTTGTTGCTGGCGAGGTGAAGACGCGTTGTTCGAAGCGAATGGAGGAGAGGGCACCAGAGTCCCTTAGAAGGCCTCCTGCTGGTGATGTTGATGCCGACGAGACGGGAACCAGACTGAAAGGGTCGCGCAGCGTGACGACGGGGCAGTAGGAGCCCGAGTAAAGGAAGTAGGCAAGGGCGAGCGTCATGATGTTTGAGCAGCACAAGGCGAAGACGAGGACGTGGTTGAAGGACTGCAGCGAATGTGCTGGCGGTGGTCTTTCGGATAAGTGGTAGGCGTAGAATTGTTGGTCCTCGTTTTGATCCTCTTCTTCGATGCGGATCAGACAGTCGTCCATTTTCTTCTCGTCTAGCGGGTAGACAGTTCGGTAGGGCGCCATGACTGCTGGGGCGGTGTGGTGGATATAGTGGCGGGCACGTGGTGGGACGGGAAAAGGGGAGTTCAAACAGAGAGGTCAAGTCGACGGCAGCCTTATGAAGAAAGAGGCAGCAGCGTGGGGAAGGCAATGGGATGCAATGCAGGTCAAGTGGTTCGATACGAGAGGCACATGGGTACAAGTAGGATGGACTCCGGGCTGGTTTTGGACAGAGGCACCGTCCGTGATCGATGACGGTCCAGGCGGTGTCGTGGCTCCCGCTAATGGACGCCGCTTCCTGTGGTCTTCACATAGCTAGTGGACTGTGGACCTGACCCCTTGGCTGCACGCGCATCATGGCGGACTTGCTTGGCGGTGGAGATTCATCATGTTCGCCGTCGAATGCGGGAGCTGAAGCTTGGCAAGTGCTTCGCGCGAAGCTTGTCGTCGCTATTTTCATGCTCAACGTCGTATCGTCTGGCATGCTCGTCCGTCGGCGGGGTTTGGCCTCGTACCGCTCCGCGAACATCCCAAGCGCAATGATCGCCTTCATATGGAATACGGTACGCGCTGAGGGAAAGCGGAAAAAATAAAGCGGTTGGCATTTTTGAAGCAGCGCGGGGCCGTCGACATTCCACCCTCGTCGAGTTCCACAAGTCTGAAAGCGGAAATTGCCCGAACAAATCGGCCCATTGCCTCATTCCGATGCAGAAAGGCGAAGTTTCCATCGTATCTGCGCCATCAGCACCACGATACGAGCACCTGCCTGCTTGCAACACTGGATAAACATACTGTACTTTTACCTGGCTGGCTGGCCCCCACTACAACTCTATCCCACACCCGCCCAAGTCGAGGTGAATGTGCCTATAACCAAGTCAACTCCAATGCGCCAGAAACAGACACGGCCGCTAGCATACCGCCACACTTACAGCTTCGCCTTGGGGTCCACCTCTCTCTTGTTCCCCGCCTCCGCCTTGCCAACGCTCCTCAAGACGTCCCACACCTCGAGACCCTGCTCCCACATTTCATCGTACCACACGTCCACATTTCCATCCGCCTTGAGCCTCCTAACCTCCTTGTGTCCCTGCGTCCCCCACTCCTCGCGTACCTTGGCCACATCACCCTGCACGAAGCTGCCAAACAACCCCACAAACGCCTTTTCGACAAGCTTCTTTTCATCGTCGCCCAGCGGCCCTGGCGTCCCGGCGTTGCCCCACCACCAAATCGGCATGTCGCTCGAATGCGTGACGCCCCACTCGGGCGGAAAGATGTTGTCGACGCAGCGCGCACGCCATTCGATGCGATATCGAAACACCAAGTCTCCCGCCCCGCCGAGCACCAGCTTGTCGACGAAACCACGCTCCAGCGCGTGGATCTGCACGTCGGCGTAGATGCGCCCAAAGGCATCGCGCCAGTCGGCGCATTCGGCTGGCAGCCGTCCGTTGGGATAGTAATGCGCGACCAGCGCATCCACGGCCGGTGCTGGGTAGTCTGCACGCAGCCGCTGCACGACTGATGCGAGCGAGTCTTCGGGCGGATGCCACGTTCCGTACAAAAAGTGCTCGTCGCGGCACTCGCCCATTAGCAGGGCCACGTTGCGCGATCGCATGCGCGCGCCAAACGCTCCGCTGTCAATCTCTGCGTACAGGTCGAACGGGACGAAGACGTCATCCAGGGTCGCGCGGAATTGGTGGCGCTTCATGGTGGAAGCGGCTGCGAGCAGTTGGCGCGCCGGGATGGATTTGAGCTTGCCGATCTTGTCGACTGTGGGCAAAGACGAAGGGATATTGAGGTGCTCGAGGAGCTCGTCGAATTGGGCTTGGGCCGACGAAAGCGTTTTGGGCTCCATTCCGGGTCCGTTGCTCCACATGACGCACCGCCGGATGACGGCCTTGGAGTCGGGCTGGTACAGGTCGTAGGCCAACTGCTTGAAGGCGCTGTGCGAGCCTGCTGAATACCCGCCAACCGTGATGTTTGAAGCATCTCCGGAAAAGTAGCTTATGTTCTTGTAGGTCCATTCGAGTGCGAGTCGCTGGTCCCAGAATCCAAAGTTGCCGGTGGGCTCATCTTCTGCGGCAGACTGGAGTTCTCTGGAGCCGAGGAAACCAAACAGGTTGAGACGGTATGCTGGCGCGACGACAATGGCTCTAAACGGCGACTCTGAAAGCAATCCTACGGGGTTGATGTCATTGGGGCTTCCAACTTGCAGGAAGCCGCCGTGAATGTAGAAGAAGACGGGCCATCCGTTGGCTGGAGGCTCGCCAGCAGGAATCCAAATATTGAGCTGGAGACAATCTTCATCCCACAGAGTTGAAGGTCCGTCACCAGTAGTTCCCATCAAGGTAGCCGACTGCGGACACACGCCAGTGCCGCCTGTGAATCTCCCGGGATTGCCTCTTGTCCCGTAGCGGTAGCAAGTAGGTAGCGGTCGCGGTAGTCGCCATCTGAATGGACCGAGAGGTGGCAGAGCGTACGGTATGCCCCCAAAGTAGTGGCACAAGTCTTCTCTGGAGCTCTTTTTAATCGTGGCGCCTTGGATGAAACCCCGCTGATCCAGGTCCCGCAGGCATGGCTCTCGAAACGTGGCCATGAACGGCGATAGTCGAGGATGCAAGGTGCTGTGTAAAGTCCTGCAGGTTACACAACCTGAGCCCAATTCAGAACGTACAGCTGGGTTTGGACCTAGCCGGAAGCTAGTTTTGATGCCGCGTAGGAAACGCGCGGAAGATCGGAGGCGTGGAGGCGTAATGAAAGACGGAGGAGGATCAAAAGATGTCAATTGCGAAGAAGGTGGAGTTCTAAAGGCGCATGCGGGTGATGACGAAGATTGTTGGATGGATCTCGAAAGACGAAGGTGGGAGGATAAGACGTCAACACCCAGGCCAGGACCTGGAAGTGGTGGCCGCTAAAAATGGCGGGGTAGGGGTCGGGGCCAGAGTTTGGCGGAGCAGCTCCCGGCGTCGCTATTTGAACCAGAATCACCTCACATCCCATGTCCATCCTCTGCTTCTTCATGCGCCAGCTCAACATCTCTCGGATGGAGAGCAAACACGTCGGAGCAATATCGAGAGCTGCAACGACGCACGAAAACGACGTGTACCGCGCTTTGCAACCCTCGCCTGAAGACACGACCACCAGACGCTCCCATGATCTTGCAATTTGATATCGGCCAGATGCACCTACCCGCCCCGCTGGTCATGGGTGCGGTTTACCTTTGCGCTTCCTCATGGATTTATCCGCGTGGAGGAAGAATCCTTCCTCCGGGCTTTCGGCGCCCATAGCTTTACGGATTTGCCTTCAGCTCGCATGTTGATGCATTCGCCGCCAGTGGGAGTGAGCCTCATGCTTTCGGGGCCCGCAGAGCTCATGTTCATCTCAGCTCGAGGCCAAACGTGAGCCTTCCACATCCTCCGACTGCCAGTCTCAAACGCGTGTTTGATCATCACGGCCGACCTCCAAAATTCGCCTGCACAGATATCTCCAGAGTGGGCGCAGTGATAGACTGGCCAGCAGAAAGATAAAGGGCCTGGGAGTGAGGAACCACCAATGAAAAGAGACGGAACCAGGAAAGGCAGGTGAAGCGCGCGGCAAAGACGACGCAACCAATGACATGTCGACCTACGCAACATCGAACGTAGCAAGCGTGATCCGTGGAGTTTGCCAACATCGGGATCTCGAGAGTTTGATTCTGATTCGGGGGAAGAGGGGCCAGGGAGAAAGAGGCTTAGGCTCGCGACTGGGCTCCTTATTCATGTCGCAAGTCGCGCCCAGCAATTGCTGTCCTTGATGCCTCAGCTCACTTGCCTTTAGCAGCACGAAGCGTTTGTAGGATGAGGCTTGCCTTTCCACTACCACCTCCGGTTTCCTGATCTATTACGCGATGTCTTCTCTATCAACACATGCCCGCCCTTCCCTTGCGTACTCACAACCCTCGAACTGGCTCAATCGACAAGAAGAGGAAAATAAATATCATGCCCGGTCATCGTGGTGGTGGCGCGCGCGAGAACGCAGAGACCGATCAAGAATGGCATGGTCATCGTCAAAGCGAGCAAGAGCGAGGACTAGTCGGCACAAGGTCATTAGACAGCATTCCTCCTATCCGATTCGACTCTACTCATTTATCTGCCTTGCCAATATTCTCAGCTGGTCGAGCCACTCTAAAGTGCTGTCCTGCTTTGGTCTCTTCTACCGCGACACCTCCTTTCTCATGCCATTTATAAATCTGCGAAACCCTTACCACCACATACAGCGGTCCCCGAAAACGTGTTGGTGGTGTAGTGGTAACGCATGTCGTGGCAACAGTCGCATCCACGGCAAGTCCCAGGTTCAAGTCCTGGCCAACATACGGATCCTTTTACCTTTTGCTCCCCCATCCCTCTCTTTTGTAGAGTGGTAGCGAGGTGAGATGATCCATGCGATATTTTGCCGGCGCGATAAGTCTTTCCTCGTTCTGTTTATAAGTTTTCGCACCTCTTACCCCCCATACAACGTTCCCCGAAAACGTGTTGGTGGTGTAGTGGTAACGCATGCTGTGGCAACAGTCGCATCCACGGCAAGTCCTAGGTTCGATTCCTAGCCAACATAAGGGTTCTCTTTACTTTTTGCCCTCCTTTCCCCCTCTTTTGGAGAGTGGTAGCGAGCTGAAGTGATCCATGGGACGAGTCTGCGCGAGGACCCTGCGTGGGCCAGTGCCGTGTCCCTGCCTGGACAAAGGGACTGTCATCGTACGGTCCGGTCGCCCTAGGGCATTCTCCAGTGCGAGCAAAAGGTGTCAGAGAAATGGCTCTTGTGGTTAGTGTCCGCAAGAGCATGGTCCAAAGAAGGAAGGAAAGAATCCGCTGCGCCGACGCATCAATGGGTTGACATTGGCACTGTTGTCGCTGTGCGTCGGACCACAGGCACGGTGGCGATAAGTGAGGCGAGATGGGGCAGTTGCTGTTACCTAACCACGCTCCTGAGCCATACCTCAATGGAGTCAGGTTGAGGACATGTGTGCTTAGAGCGGAGGGCCAGTACAAGGTCAGTGAGCGATTTTGGAGTTTTCTTTTTCTCTCAAGTTGACTTCCGTCTGTCCACGTGTGTGAGAAGGGATCGAGTGAAAGGTAAACTCAGTGATATGCTGCAGCAAGCAGCTTAGTGTCTCTCCCCTCGGTGGATCAATGAAACCCATGCCCCTCAACGCTGACGCCATCCGAGCCTATAGCTGCAGCTTACGAATGCTTGGTGATGGAACCCTGGACGCGAATCACGATGCTATAACAAGCTTTGAGTAGTAAGGGGTATGCAGGCATACTTGCCGCCCTTCGCGTCTCGATTGTCACAGAAGTTGCATAGGCACTCCTGTGCCTTGGTTCCTGGAAAGAGGGCAAAGCCCGGGGCACAGGAGTCCTCCGAGTGAGGTCGTAGGGGGCCTTGAGAGAGTGCCCGACTGGCCGTTGGAGCGAGGCTCAAAAAGCCGGTGCTCCCCTTCGTCCGAGCAATCCGCCTTGAAGTTCTTCGTGACCAACGACGCGTGGACAAAGGCGTTTGCAGAGTCTGGATGACGGGCTGGGGTTTGTGCCAGTCAGCGCCGAGCATCAATATGCGCTTACCGCAGACAGCATCCCCTCCAGAAAATTGACCGCAATCGCGAGGCCGCCGTTTGAACAGACTTTGACGAGCGAGCTCTGGTTGACGTTTGCCCGCCTTCCCCGCATTTCTTGGAAGGTTGATCGACGCCAAGGTATAGAGGGAGCCTGATAGGCTGGCGGCCACGATGCTCCTGCCCCCGACGACCGCGTCTCCGCAGACCCGGACCGGAGACTGGATGCCACGGGGCAGCGCTGGTTTCGTGAGCAGCTCAGCCTCTCTGCTTCGGCGCTCGCAAGCAAGCATGCTGCTCGTCGCCAGGATGCTCAAAGCGCCCGCGCGTGAGCGGGTCTCCCCGGATAGAACCTTGCACAAGCGTTTGGCGTTGTGGGGAAGCTTGTTTACCGTGTCATGGGCGGGCAGCGGATTGGACGGACCAACCTTCCCGTGGCCGCGCTGGGCTGGCTGGGTCCCTCTTCGGACTCAGTGACCCAAGGTAATGCGTGCTCAGCGCTGGCGCTTTAGCTCTGACCCTGGGCGGGCATCTCCCCTCTTTTCTGACTTGTTTGGAATGAGGAGAACGTGGAGAAGACCCGTGTAGGGCCGGCCTTGGGGCGAGGTCCGTATTAGAAGAGACGGTGTCTGCGCCCCTTGCTGTCGGTTATGCCGGGAGTGCGCTTCTAGCGATTGAGAAGAAGAAGAACGCACCAGTCTCGAGTGTTTGCGGAAAGCGGATACAGACATTTTCACAACGGCTTGAAATGGCGGAAAACAACCAGAATCATGTTGTGGAGGAGCATCTGGAAAAGGACTTTAGCAGGAACGACTACCCTGACGAGCATCTCGGCGCGCATGTCGATGCTGACCACGCCCTGAACAAGATCCGTACCGCCGGCAGTATTTCCATCTCGCCAGAACTGTTTGAGAAGATTTACCTCTCGCCTCAGAACCGGGTTAAGGGGGAGCTGCGCAGAACGTTTGGCAACCCAACTCCAGTGCAAGTTCCTCGCTCGGACCTACACGTTCCAACAGACTGACGCTTTCGAAGTTGTCTCATCGGCTTCCTCCTGGCCCTGACGCCGCTGAGTTGGCAAGTCTCTTCCTCTACTGCACCGTCCCAATTGACTGACGTATTCGAAGCATCTTGATGGGCTGGCGGGGAGCTAGCGGCGCCTCTGCAAACGTCGGCGCATACTACTTTTGCGGAGGCGTCCTAATGCTGCTCGGTGCCATTGGCGAATGGATCCTGGGCAACAGCTTCCCTTGCGTCGTCTTTGCGTCCTTTGGCGGCTTCTGGACCAGCTTTGGGGCCACGCTCACGCCTGATTTCAACGCGTACGGCGCGTTTGCTACAGATCCGAGCAATCCGGCGAGCGGGCTGCAGACGGTTGGTTTCAATTCCGGGTTTGGTGCGTCTTACCTTTTGCGATAATATGCAAAATGGTTGTGGACCCAGACTGACCTGTGTCTAGGCTTCTTGATGCTCTCCATGGCCTTCATGTGCTTCCTGTTCACCATCCTGGCCTTGCGCACCAACCTTTGCTTCGTCACCATTCTCGGCACCCTCTGCCTCCTCTTCTGCATGCTGGCCGGCGCATACTGGCAGACGTCCAACGGGAACCTCGACACGGCCCGACACCTCCAAAAAGCTGGCGGCGCCTTCTCTTTCATCACCATTTGCGCTGGCTGGTGGGTCATGTTTGCCATTCTCCTGGTTGCCATCGACTTTCCGTTTCAGCTCCCTGGTAGGTGCCGTTCCACGCTGCTTGAAACACTGCTGACGATGTGCCTATAGTTGGTGACTTGTCCCACATTATCAAGGGAAAGAGTGAGAAGCGAAAAGCCGCTGGCAACGTCGTATAGGCGTCTCGCTTGATCCGAGAGTCTGTGGAACCAGAACTCTACTGTGATGGCGTCTGTCTGCCGGCTTTTGGAGTGCATGATGAGGGATTCTTCTTTCAACGGGCGAATGGGTAATGTGTCTAATGTAAGGTCAATTCTGTTGCGCTGCCACGAGGGAAAATTTGCATACCAGGTGGTGGTTGAGAGTACCAAAACATTACCTCCCACGTGTTCGGGGAACCGGCTTGCTCTCTCTTCAGTGCGTACCTGTTGGAGCAAAGGCCGTGAAATATATTTGCGCGGGACCGCCGGAGTTGATGAGTGATCATCAATTTGGCGGGTAGCAGCGACAATTGTGATGATAAATCTTGCAAGAACCGCAGCAAACCGGAGTGGAAATGCTGGCACTTGATCGAGGACTTCACTGCTGTTGTGACTTTTGGGCAGTAATGCGCATTGCTGGTAGTGTGGTTCGAGTCAGCTTTGATGCCTCAGGATGGTATTCGGAGCTTAGGAGCTTCGGAGCATAATAGGAAAGTGCGCGACTGACGACCTCCACGTCGAACACAGCAACAAAAAACTTCAAATTAGAAAGGAGAAGTGATGAAATGAGAGCAGAAGGCGAAGACTGTTTAGCGTCGTAACTCATTCTATTCGTATCGTCTTTCGCAATGCTATTATAGAACAGACCAGATGCGCAGACCGACCGCGACAACGTCCCCGGCATTTCAGGCTCATGCAACCAATCGAGGCTTGGTGATCGAAGTTGTGACACAGACGAGACCAGGAGGGAAGCGGAAGTGGAGCCCACGGGTGATTGACAGGAAGCATTCGAGCATCCATAAAGACACTAATAGGAGCACATGAATTCCAGTCCGCGGATCCTATGATCATTTGTGCCACGATTATTGGCACCAAGTCTCGAATGCCAATGGCACCGTTGTCATAGATCCCCGTATTATTCCCGCTCACCGAGGCCGACAGGCACATCCTAGAGGCCAGACATGATGACAGCAGCCAAGCCCGAGGTCGAGGAAGCAATGGATCCAGTCGTCGGCGTAGCCGGCGCATCAGTGACGGTGGGGTTGGAAGCAGGCGTGGCAGTAAGCGTTTGGAAGCCCGCCGGGGTGAGCGGGATTGCCATCGGCTTCTGGTCACGACGCAGCAGACCGTCGGCAGTCTTGAAAGGCGCGGGCGGGTCCTGGACGGCGACACGCCAAGAGAGGATGGAGCAGTTGGCGAAGCCCGAGTAGAGGTCGGTGTAGAGGATTGGGTTGGTGGGCAGGGCCAATTGCGGGTTGTAGTCGTCGTCGAAGACGGTGGTGCAGTCGTCGACACGCTCGCTGTAGTCGCAGGATGTTTGCTTCCTGTAGACGCTGGCGGGTACCTGAGGCATGTTAGGCCTTGTTCATTGTGTGTTTGTTCGGGGGTTGTTCAGCTTACAGGGTGGTCGAAGTTGATCCAGTCGATGGATTTGGTGTGCCTGAGGCGATTGTGTCAGCGGAAGAAGGCAGCATAAGGAGACAGCAATGGCCGTTCTACCTGTAAGGCGTGGTCATATCGTATTCGACGCTCGAGACTGATTCCGCCGGTACTCCAAGAATGACGTTTTCCCAGCCGGTACCAGCGCAAGGCAACGCAGTCAGGGAAGCAAAAGACAGGTAGATGGTGGGAGAAGTGAAGGTGTAGTTGCCAGACGTCGCAGTGACGACAGAAGTGATGGTGGGCGTTGCAGTCGTCGAAGCTGGAGTGCAAACCTCGGAATCAGCCTTTGACTGCGGCCAGTACATCAGCTTGACGTCTGCTGCGTCCAGCCGACAGTTTGTTTCTCCTTCGATGATTCCAACGCATGTGTCCCCGCCAAAACCACAGTCTGGGAACTGTGTAGCTGACGCATCGCGAAATGACTGAACTAGCCTTGAGCAACCGGTATAGTCGTAGGTGCAAGTGGGCGTGGGCTCCGAGTAAGAGTATTGTGCCCACGAGTACAATGAAGGACTCACGGTGCTGGCAGCACCCGAGGCTCGGGGAACACCATCACAAAGCGTTGAGACTACCCCAGTGTAGTTGCCGACAGTCTCCCAGATGTAATCCGTGTTGGTGGAGTAGCCGGTCGGGTCTCCTTTCTCTGAGCTGAGATCCCACGAGTTGTATCTGCTGGCCCACAAGGCCGA